AAGGAAGGAAGGAAGGAAGGAAGGAAGGAAGGAAGGAAGGAAGGAAGAAAGGAAGCACTTCCCTTTCCTCATGGGGCTGGAAAGATGGCTCAGCTATCAAAAGCATCTACTGTTCTTGCTTCAAGCCCTAGCACCCATACGGAGCAGCTCACAACCACCTGTCTGTAACTCCAGCTCCAGGGGATCTGATGCCTTCTCCTGGTCTCTATGGACACCTGCATTCATGTGCACATACTCTCCCACACACATAACTTTAAAGTAGTAAACTGAACCATTTTAAAAGCAAAAGGTAAAAAGGAGACCTGGTAAGATGATGGTTCAGCTAGTAAGGGTGGATGCTACCAAGTCTGACCTCCTGAGTCTGATCTCAGACCCACAGGATGGTTGGTGAGAACCAACTTCTGCAAGCTGTCCACTCACCTCCACACTTTGCCATAGTATTTGTTTCCTCATCATCTTCCACGTAAGTAAATACGATTTAAAAAAATTAAGCAAAAAGAGGTCTATGGGCATGGCTAACTGCTAAGCATGGTCCTACAATTCTTCAGTGTGGGGCTGGGAAGTGACTCAAGGGTAGAATCCCTGCCCAGAATCCCCTAGTGAGGGGCTGTGGTGGGAGGTGTGGTTCAGTGGAGTGCCTGTTTAGTTCTCAAATAAGACCTGAGCTCAGTCACTAGTAACAGAGATGAGAGAGATGGTGAGGTGGTGTTTGTGGGGCGAGGTTTTGGTAAAGAGGTGTGTCCATTCCCTATGGATCATTTTCTGAGCCAGGGTTCAGGTGAGCAAGGTGGCACATGCCTGGGATCCTAGGTATTCAAGAGGCTGAGGCAGGAGGATCAAGAGTAAGCTTGACGTGAACCTGGACTGAATAATGAAATCGAAGCCTACCTGAGTGACCTGTCTCAAGAAGTTAAGATCCTGGCTTGGGAGGTGACTCAGGGAGGAAACACACCGCCACCAAATGCGATGACTTGAGTTTGATTCCCAAAGCCTGCATTGTGGAAGGAGAGAACTGACTCCTGCCAGTTGTCCTCTGACCTCCACACACATGGTAGCACGAGCACACACACAAATTAATAAATGTATCAAATTATCTAAAAGTAAAACCTTTTCAAGATTCAGCAGAGAGGTCTTTTTCCTCAGAAAGTCCTCTCTCACTCCATGGCTCATGACGTCTCTGCTCTTTATATCCCCTTCGTCATGACAATCGGTCCCAAGGTCAGTGTTTTCTTATTTCAATTCCCAAAGCAATACAAACTCTTTTTTTTCTAAGCAAAGGAGCTAACTGAATTAATATTTTTATTTCATGTATAATGGTGTTTTGCCTGCATATATGTGGGGGTGTCTGATCTGATACGGGAGTTACAGACAGTTGTCAGGTGGGTGCTGGGAATTGAACCCAGGTCCTCTGGAAGAGCAGCAAGTGCTCCTAATCGCTGAGCCATCTCTCCATCTGCCCCCCCAACCCCCAATGCAAATTCTTTCGAAGTAGGCCAATAAGCAATAACTGCTACGCGGCCATTGTCCTCAGACTGCCCTGGAAGGAGCAAAGCAGCCATCTGTCTGCACTTGGAACCCAGCCATGTCTTGCTCACTGCCCATTTCCCTCCCCGAATCCTTCTCAGTACCTCTCTCACACTGAGGCCCCATGAATCCATAGACACACGCACAGAGGTTTGGCCCGATGCAGCGTCCTCCGTTACGGCAACCGTGGACACAGATGGCTGTGGACAGACAGGGGAAGACGACTGAAGGTTTTCTGGGAGCAGAGGTGGCTGGGACCTAAGTAGCATTTCTTTATCCAGGGATCCTGCCATCTGGACCAGGGGGAGTAAGACTGACTAATGAGTGAGGGTTTGGTCAGTAAAGAGCTCAGATTCTCAGCACCCATGGGAAAGTCACAAGCAATGGTGCTCTGTAATTCCCTTGCTGGGGAGCCAGAGGCAGGTGGGTCTCTGACAGCTCACTGGCCAGCTAGCCTAGCTGAAGAGGTGAGCTCTGGGTTCAATAAGAGACCCTGTCTCTGAAAACAAGGTGGAGAACAATCGATGGAGAAACCTAACACCGATCTTTGGCCTTCGCATGCACACATACACACATGCACACATACACACATGCACACATACATACATGCACGCACATCTGCACAAGCACCCGCCCCACTGACTTGTGCAGCTGTAAAAATGAGCCTGTCACCTTTGATCTCTGATCAAAGTGAGCAAGTGATGAACAGATCCATTTCCTAGGAGTCTATGCGTAGGTGAGGGCAGCAATGGGGGTACTCACGTTGTCCACACACAGTGCCCGTGTAGCCTTTCTGGCACAGACAGGATTCCCCTCGGCAGCTGCCCCCATTCATGCAGCTCATGCTACACCCCAGTGATGCTATGGATCAGGAAAAACATACAGTAAGGGGAAGATGTTCCAGGAAGGCTTGACCAGGGCCTCTACTTGGCTTGGCTCTTATCCTTCAACAAAAACAACCTGGGCTCCTAGTGGCATTCAGATGCCTAGAGTCTTCTCTTCCTTCTTCAAGAGGCCACTGACCACTCACCTCTACTTACTTCACAGCTGGGGGCCACGGTCCCATCCATACAGGTACACAGGTTGGGCTGGGAGCAGAAGCCATTGCCACAGGTATGCCTACAGACAGCTGGAAAGGCAGAGCGTACAGCTTCAAAATCAGGACCCACGGCCTTGGCGATTTCTCAGTAGGGAGAGGCACTTGCTGCGCAAGCCTGGTGACCCGACCTCTATTCACCAGCAAAGGCAGAATGGAAGAAGAGAACTGACTTCACATAATTGTTCTCTGACATCCATATGTGTATCATGGTATGTGTGCCTCCATGCACTCAACATGCACACACACAATAATAACTAACTAACTAACTAACTAACTAACATGGTAGTGTACTTATATCAACCCAACACTTGGGAGGGATGGAGGGGGACTGCTAAGGGTGAGAGAGAGAAAGGACACAGGTCCCATGTCATCCTCACTCCAAAGATTCCCAGGCCATCAGAAGCCTCACGGTGAACCAGTTGGTCTTCCCCAACTCTAGCTCTGCTCATACCCTGAATAATGGCAAACAAACCCCCGCCAAGTCTCTATCTAGGCTGAGCAGGTGCTGTGACCTTCAGCTCCAGGATTTTGCTACATCATCAGGAGAGATGATGTGGGCATGAAGGGCTGACTTCAGGACACAGAGGCTGCAGTGGTGAGGACCCAGGCAATAGATTCAGAGTCTGGAGACAGAGAAGTTAGAGTTGGGGGAGAGAGTGTGAGATTGACATAAAGACAGTATGAAGCCTGAAGAACCATGGAGACAGACAAGACAGGAGAGCTAGACAGAAATGACAAGATGGGAGGACAAAAGAAATGAATGCAGGCTGGGTAAGATGATTCAGAAGGTAAAGGCACTTGCTCCCAAGCCTGATGACATTTTGATCCTCAAGAGCTACATGATCGAAGGTGAGAACGGACTACTATCTGATGTAGGTGGGTCTTCTGTCAATGTGTTACTTTCATTGGTCAAATAAAGAGACTTCCTTGGCCTTTGATAGGACAGCAGCTTAGCTAGGTGAAGTAGACAGAACAGAATGTTGGGAGATAGAAGCGAGTCAGGCAGATGCCATGAAGCTCTGGCCCGAGATGGACGTAGGTTAGACTCATTCCAGTAAGCCACAGTCACGTGGTGTTATACAGATTATTAGAAATGGGTTAATTAAGATGTGAGAGTTAGCCAAGAAGAGGCTAGAACTAATGGGCCAAGCAGTGTTTAAATGAATACAATTTCCTTGTAATTATTTCGGGTAAAGCTAGCCGGGTGGTGGGACGCAGCCCGCTGCTCCTTCTACAACTGTCAGCTGCCTTCATGTACATCATGGCATGCTTCACCCACCCAGCAAAATAAATGAAATACATATTTTTCAAAAAGAGATAAATGAATGCATCAAGTCACAATGGAGTCTAAGGACAAAAGCATGGGACATTAGTGAGGCTCACCCAGCAGCCCTGAGCTAAGTTCCAACTTCACATGTAGACAAGGCTGGGATTGCTGACCGGTAGCTGGGAGGACCCCCAAGCATCCCCTGCCTGTACCCTCCATCTCCACTCTTCAACACTCACGGACAATACACTGATTCCTGCCAGGCAGAGTCCTCCAGCCAGGGCAGCAGTAGGCATGAAAGCGGGAACCACAGACATTAGGCCTTTGGGAGAAAGTGGGTGATGTAGCTGCTACCTGTCCCCTCACCCCAGCATAGCCCTTCCCTGCCCGCACCCCAGGTACTTTCAGCATTCCAAATACACACACCCCTGCAAAATGATGGCAGGCCTGCCACGTCTTCTCACATGGTCTGGACTCGCAGATTCCAGGGTCCCATCCCAGTAGCCTTGACCATTTTCCATGCACGACAGAACCACCCAGGCCAGCAGAATCTGAGCTGGAGGACCCCAGGCTGTAAGGAAGCCTCCAGGTTCTCTCCTTGCCCAACATGGGCCTTCCAGAGTCATGATGTGTCTTTGGAGGCTGCAAGGAGCAAGCAGAGTCAGCTGACAAGTGAACTACATGGTGAAGGGGCACCCCATAGAATGGACAGTGGTGAGTAGCCTGCCTGGGAAGACACTAGTTCTGGCTTGGGAGAGCAGGGGAACAACCATGGCAGACTTTTTGAAAGAGGTTTCATTGATTTTAGTGTGTTTGCCACGTGTGCATACACATGGAGGCCACCAGGCAACGTCTACTGTCATTCTCAGGAGCCGTCACATTGTTTTTTGAGACTGGACTTCTCCCTGGAGTGGAATTCACCAAGCAGGCTAGGCTGGTTGGTGAATGAGCCCCAGGATTCTTCTGTCTACACATGCTCAGGGCTATTATATTTAAGTGGGTCCTCGGCGATCGAACACAAGCCTTCAAGCTTACAAAGCAGGGGGTTTACTGACTGAGCTATCTTCTAGCCTCAGGATACGGTATTTCACAGGTGAAGTCACTATAGATAATGATTCTGGGGAAGAAGGTTTGTGGGGGAAAGAAGGGGGTACAGAGTGGGAGAAAGGGACAGATAGGCCCATGGTTGTGCATCAAGGGCAATAAAGAACTCTTGAAATATTTTTGGTGAGGAACAAATATGAGCTTGGAGTGAGGAAGGGATGTGGGGTCCAGCAAAAGCTGGGCAGGGAGATGGCAGGGCCAGATGACAGGGGTTGATAACAAGGAATAACAGGGAACTTAAACAATCAACAAGAGTAGGTGGGGATTCCAGAGGAGGACAGAAGATTGAGGAGACCCCCAGAATTCTGGCTGGGAGGGTTGAGAGAAGCTGTATTTAAAGACTTATGGCTTGGGCTTGCAACATGGAGATCTGAATTTTACCTTCCAGAAACCACGTAAAATGACCAAGCATGGGGTTCTCTCTCTCTCTCTCTCTCTCTCTCTCTCTCTCTCTCTCTCTCAAATATTTTTGTCTTATTTTGTGTGTGCTTATTTTTGCCTTCATACATGCCTGAGCACTATGTAAGTGTCTGGTGCCTAAGGGGGCCTGAAGAGGGCATTTGATCCCCTGAAACTGGAATTTAGTGGGTTTTAAGTCTTCATATGGATGCTGGGAATTGACCCCAGGTTCTCTGAAAGATCAACAAATTCTCTTAACCCCTGAGCCAACCACTCCAGTCCCACGGGACATGATCTTATCCCAATGCTGGGGAAGAGGAGGCAGGCAGATCCTTGGCTCACTGACTAGTCAGTCTAGCCTACTTGGTGAGTTTCAGGTCAGTGAGAGACCTTGTCTCAGGAATCAATGTGATGGTGCCTGAGGAACAGTACCTGAGATTGACCTCTGACCTCCACATGCATGTATACATGTGTGCACCCACACATGCATGTACATCACACATTCCAAACTTAAGTAAGTGGCTAAGTCAAAGGAGGCAGCTGGGCATTCTGACAACCTTTGCATCTTGTTCACTTTGGACAAAACAAGACAATCACGTGGTTAGTGAGAAGATTCAAGGTTCAGCCATCTCCTCCTCCCAGAACAGTTGGCTCTTTCCTTGGCCAGGAAGAATGAGTGTGGGAGCAGGTCGAGGCGATTTCCCAAAAGAGTCGGTTGGGCTGGTGAGAAGGCTCAGCCCAGTAAAAAGGCACTTGAGGACTTAAGTTTGATTCACATGGATTCACACGGTGGAGGGAGAGAGTCAATTCCCACAAGTAAGTTGTTCTCTGACCTCCACACATGCTTCCTCTCACCCCCCCTCCTTCCCCGCGTCCCATAAACTAAATTTCTAAAGTGTAAGAAAAAGTAGTGTGCTATGTTTCTTTTGTAAAAGGTTTGGATGGAGACCGGGGATGTAACTCAGTTGGCAGAGTGCTTCTCCAGCACGCATGAAACCCTAGATTTGATCCCCGGGGCTAGCTCTGGTGTGGTGGTGCATACATATAATAAGACCTTGTGGAAAAGTAGAGGCAAGAAGATAGTGAGTTTAAAGCCTTCTGGGATACATAGCAAGGCCCAGTCCCGTAAACAGTTTGCAGAATGAAAACTCTGGGCCTTTGAGGAGAAGCGAAAGTCTGACCGGGTGTTCCCAAGCTTTAGTTAACTTAGAGCAGTGATTCTCAACCTTCCTAATGTAGTAACTGTATTAATACTTTCAGTTCCTGGTATTGTGATGACCCCCATCCAAGAATTATTGTCGTTGCTACTTCATAACTGTAATTTTGCTACTGTTCTGAATTGTAGTATAAATATTTCTGGAGATAGCTTGTTAAAGGGGGTCCGACCGACAGGTTGAGACACTCTGACTTAGAGGCACGACCAGGCAGGGGAAGGGGACAGGGACACTTGTCTTGCTTTCAGGGGATCTAATTAATATGGCCAACTCGCGGGACCCTCCCACACTCCCAAGCTCTGAAAGTTAGGTCCCCAAGATTAGTTGGATGAGTTAAGTTGCCTCAAAGGCAAGCGGAACTTGAATAGGAAGATGTGCCTCCCTCGCTCCTCGCTGCCTCTTCCTCTGCTGCCTCAGAGAAGAATCAGAAGTCCCAGGAAAGAGGCACTCCTGAGAGTGCTTGGGCAGCGACCTCCAATCACCATTGCCAAAGCTACAGCACCTTGTTGGACCTCAGGGTGGTGCTCCGCTCCGCCCTCACCTGCAGACCAGAAACTGGAAGCCCAGTTCCTGCGGAGTACGGGGTTTCCCGGCATCCTACAAGAGCGCGCCCAGCCCAGTGGATAGTGGAGAGGGGAAGGGGGCTGGGCCAGGGGCTGCCTGGCTGCAGACAAAGGAATCCCTCACTCCGTGGTCGCGGCCAACCGACCTCCCTCTGCTACTGCTGGACCTCCCTTCCGCCGCGTTCCCAGCGGTCACTGTTTCACAGGCCCGCCTTTCCCTACCTGAGGGTGCAGCCGACAAGATGCGCGAGCCAAGGGGACCCCAGGAGCAGCAAGGCAAAAGTCTGGGAAGGCTGAGCCGCTGCGTGTCTAGCTCCGAATTGAGGGCGGGAGGGGTTTGGGGGAGGGTGCGGTTGCACCTCTCAGCTTGGGCGGGGAGAATTGAGAGAGGCTGAGGCTGGGGGAAGGCCTGAAGCTGGCTTGCAACTCCAAGGAGTTGCAGAGAGGCAAGGGGTTCCTGGAACTGCCGACCTCCTAGGGGTCATGTTTAACAATGGAGTTAGGGGTGGTCCCGAAGTGAGGCTGGGGTGTGCGGGGTGATCAGAAGGTAGTAGGTACAGGGAGGCCCCAAGACTTACCTGGGAGGTCTCCCCTGTTCCTGCTGGGGCAAGAAGAATTCTAAATATGGCAATTCACCTGTGCTTTAGTCAGGGTTCTCTAGAGAAATAAAACTGATAAAATATACATATACATATATACATACATATAAGCTGCTGTCCAACTAGTTCAACAATGGCTGTCTAAGTTCATAGGAAAGTCCAGGAATTCAGTAGTTGTTCAGTCCTGAGGCTGCCTGTCTCAGCTGGTCTTCAGTATAAGGCCAGAATCCCAAAGCAGGAGGTTCTAATGCAGGGGAAGAAGGAATGACAGCAAGAGTGAGGGCAAGTAGGCAAAGAGAGCAAGCTTCCTCTTCTACGTCCTTTACATAGGCTTCCTCCAGAAAGTGTGGGCCAGACTTACAGTGATCTTCTCACCTCAAAAGATCTGGGTTATGGTGGGTCTTCCCTCTTCAAATGACTTAATTAGGAAAAATTCCTAAAAAAAAAATAAATAAATAAAATAAAAAAAGAAGGAAAAAAGAAAAGTTCCACAAAATGTACATCAACTTTAGCTTAATGTGCGTTTACACAAGAGTGTGCAGGGTAGAAGATGGTCTCAGTTGTTATCTTCAGGGACACTACCTCTGTCAAGACCAAATGAAAACATTAGCATAGAGAAGATGTAGAATCCCGCATTCCAGCTCAATTATTGGAGACCGAACTCAGGGTCTCACACATGCGAAACAAGTGCTCTACAGATGAGCCACACTCCTAGTCCCACTGGGGGATTCTAGGCAGAGCTCTAGAACTGGTTAGATACAGACTCTAGATACTGCTGAGCCTGTATCTAACCCCTCATGGGGGGATTTTAGGGAATTTTATCCTCCCTTGTGGCTGAACTTCATCCCCCAGACTCTGGAGGCATCTCCTTCATTGACATTTCTGGCAATTTCACTACCACTTTGGGAATAACTCAACACCAATAATCCTGAACATGGAGTCTTGACAGAAGCTGTTTCTTGGATTTAAAATCATTACTCCACCCAGCAAAATTCTATGTAGCTAGCAAACCCAATTTGCTTTAATTCCCCTTTCCCCCAAAACATCAGCTTTCTCTATGTAATCCCCAAAGCTAAATGTGCTAACCCTGCATCATCACAGCAATTCTAGAATGTAGCAAACAAACAAGCAAACAGCTTATTCTTAAGTATTTTCTTCTGGCCAACAAATCTCTCTGCTGATGCAAACAATCCCAATCAGACCAAATATGACCAAATTAAAAGATACTTATATTTAATGGATGACAATATTGCCGGGTAATCCTGGGAAAATGTGGAGAGGGGGAATAGAGAGAAGGGGAGACCATGCAGAACTGGGAGGCCTTGTGTTTATTCTCTGAGGGGCAGTTTAAATAGCCTATGGGAGTGGTCTTGACCTTCCCTGGAGAGGGGTTACCATTTGGCAGGCTTTTTTGACCCTCCCTGCGGAGGGGTCACCATTTGGCGGTCTTTCTCGGAGGTGGAGTTTGGACTGAGGCAACTCCCAGGGAAGGGAGCTTATGCCAGGAGCTGGGGTGAAGTCCCCAGCTAAATACTTATAACAATCTGAAGAGGTGCCAGGTGGTGGTGGTGTACAACTTTAACCTCTCAGGAGTCAGTGGCAGGCAGATCTCTGAGTTCAAGGCCAGTTTGGTGTACACATAAAGTTCCAGGACAGCCAGGGTTAAACAGAGAAACCCTGTATGAAAAACACAAACAAAAAGCAAAACAATTTGAAGCATTGTTGAGTGGTTTCAACTTGACAGGCA